GCCGGAGTTCTACGGCGACTTTGGCGCCCGCACGGACGTGCTCTTCCTTAGCAGGGACCGCTCCCGCGCTGGCCCGTGCGAGGAAGAGGAGGTATGTATGTTCCATGCATGCATGCATACATGTATATGTATGTATGTATGTATGCATGCATGTATGTATGTATGCATGTATGTATGTATGTATGTATGTATGTATGTATGCATGTATGTATGTATGTATGTATGTATGTATGTATGTATGTATGTATGTATGTACGTATATATATACACATTAATATATATATATATATTTATATAGATAGATGGATGGAAAAACCCAATAAGTGGATGTTTCGAATAATAATAAGATGGATCTTGAGATCGATAATGAGATCGATTGTGAGATCAATAGTGAGATCGATAGTGTAATCGATAGTGAGGACGATTGTAAGGTCGATCGTGAGACCGATAATGAAATCGATTCAATGAGATCGATAGCGAGATCTATCGCGAGAGCACTCGTGCGATCTATAGTGAGATCGTTTGTGAAATCGATAATGAGATCGATCGATGGTGAGATCGATAGAGAGGTGGGTAATGAGATCGATGGTGAGACCGATCAATCAGAAGATCGACCGGGAACCAGGGAACCCGGGAACCCCGCCGCCCACCGAAATCGGCCCGGAACCAATAACTGGGAACCTGGGAGTCCCGGAACCAGGAACCCGGGAACCCAGCCTGCTACCAAAATCGGCGGGATTTTTTTGCCAAATCCTTCATTTCCCGCTAGGACCCCTTCAGTGCAAGCACTGATTGGGGAGTCTATAGATCTATGTATATATATATATATATATATATATATATATATTGCATGCACGTATGCATGCATGTATGTATGTATGTATATATATATATATATATATATATGTGTATTTACACATCTAGAGATATGAATGAATGTGTTGGATTAGAGATGTAGTACACATCTATAGACATATATGTGTATTAACACATCTCTAGATCTAGATATATATTTGGATGAATATTCAGACATCGCCGTAGGCTGGTATGTGTATGCGTATTGTGAAGGTATGTGCACATGTCCAGGTCTATTCATACGTGTATATGTATACGAATATGTATAGGTATATGTGTATGTATACGTATAGATATTTGTATGGGAGTTTGTATACGTATTCGTATATGTGTATGTACATGCACATGTATACGCATTTGTGTCTGCATATGTATATTCTCCAAATAGGCTTGCCCTATAGGAGTCTTAGCTCAAACCTACGGACTCGTCCGTTGCCCGCCCCCCTGATGCCTATGCCCCCCCTAATTCCTATGGCTATGCTGATGCCTATGCCTATCCCCACCTTTTTCCAATGGGCACCCTCCCTTATGTATGCTTGCTTGCTTGCTTGCTTGCTTGCGCGCTTGCTTGCCCGCTCGCTTGCTTGCTGAGTTGCGGATTCCAAGCATGCTCGATTCCTCTCGTTTCATACGTAGCACCCCGCAATTGCGGATAAGAGTGAGGGGGCGGGCGCGGGCGACGCGGGCGTCGTCGAGCCGGCGGACCTCGTGGCCCCCACCTTCCTTGTCGATGGCGCTCTCCTCCACCTCCTCCTCCTTCTCCTCCTCTTCCTCCTCCTTCTCCTCCTCTTCCTCGTCCTCATCGTCATCGTCATCCTCCTCCTCCACCTCGTCCTCCTCCTCCTCCTCTTCTTCCTCGTCCTCCCTCTCCCCCCTTCGTCTTTTCATCATGGTCCTCCCATTGTCGTCCTCCCCCTCATCGGCCTCCATCATCGTCCTCCCATTGTCGCTCATCATCATCATCCTCCCATCCTCCCCCTCCTCGTCCTCCTCCTCCCCCTCCTCCCCCTCGTCCTCCTGCTCCTCCTCCTTTTCTTTCTCCACGTTCTCCTTACATTCTCTCTTCTTCCACGTTCTCCTCGTCCCCTGTTTACTCATCCTGCCTCCCCCTCCTTTCCCAAGATAACTGCAACGCAATCCTTTTTTCCACTTTATGCTCCCCGCCTTCTCTGATCAAGGCAACTCGCCAGGGCAAAGTTGCTGGACGGGCTGGCGTGGATGCGCGGGGCGTGAAGAGGTCCTTGCGGGCTCAGACGGCATGCAAGAATCCGCCGCCGCGCTTGTGCGGCATTGGTTTGTTCAGTGAACGTGGTTTAGGTCGCAGGTGGGTCGCGGGCTCTCCACCTCCACTTGGAAGGAATGCAAAAGCAGCCCGCCGCAAGCGCAAAAAAAATGGTTTGTACACGGAACGAGGTTTGGGTCGCGGGTGGGCCGCGGGTTCTCCATGTCGACCGTATGCCCTTCACCACTTAGATGTGTCACCTCTCGCTTCATCCTTTTCGCCTTGTTTCTCCTTGTCCCCCATCTTTCCTGATGCTCTTGCGCCCTGCTGCCGTTTAGGGCCCTTGAGCCAGGGCGCCTTTCCGGGAAAAGATGTGATCCTCGATCGACGAACCGATCCGAGATCGACGTAGTTGGTAGCGGAGCTACGGCTCCACGGACTAGCGCGCGCGGGGATCCCAGATCGGCAGATCGTCATCGGCCATGACATCCGCCATCTTCGAGGGATCTGGTGTGAAAGCCTGCCCAATAGCCGGTCCATTGCAAAGCTGGGAAAGCTATGAAGAAGACCTGCAAGCATGGCATCTGAGCACCGAGCTGAAAGCTACGACTATCGGCCCCCGCGTAAAGTCCAGAGGTTTTTCTGCGAACAACACGTTTAAAAACCAAGCCAAGCTGTTTGACATGAGCCGTCTTAGTAGCGACCCTGTAGGCGAAACCGGAGCAATTGGGAAGAAGTTATGTTTCGATTACTTGGTAGAGTTCATGCAAACAGAAAACAGAACAAATGACGACGTAGCTAAGATCATCCGTTTAGCTTCCTGGCTGGAGTTGAAACGGGGTAACCAGAAAGTAGAAGACTACGTGAACGAGTCGTTCCGCCTGCTACAGGATGTAGACCAGGATAGGTTCGTTGTCTTAGAGGGTTTTGTGAAATCGTTGATTTCGATCATCAACGCACAACTCACGCAACAACAACTGAACAACTTGCCGACGAGACTCGACTTGGACGCCACTCGGACTTTAGCTAAGACCAAGAGTGCGATCCTTAAAGTACTAGGATACAACCCTTTAGCCAAAACGGCGGAGCACCAAGGCTACGAAGCCTGGGAAGACTGGCCTTCAGAGGGCTTTGAACAAGACTGGGGCGAACAGAGCTGGCAGGAAGCTAGTTGGACAGAATAAGCAAACTACGGCCAAAAAGGCTGTTTGCGGTGTGGCAGTCCAAGCCACTGGGTCGACAAATGCCCACGCCAAGGGCATTGACAAGGGCAAGACTGGCAAAACGCCTTTGGGAAAAGGCAAAGGAAGCTGGTCCAAGGGCTACTCGAGCGGACAGCCGAAGCCCGCGACGAGCAAAACCAAAAGCAACAAGATCAAAGGCAAATCCCATGCAGGGAAGAGCCAAGCAAAAGGAAAATCGTCATTCGCTTTCGCCGCCGACGAGTGGGAAAGCTGGATTGGCGGTTGGTCCGAGAGCCCTGATTGGGCCGCAACGGACTGGAACTACACGCAGCACCAGGACCCGGATGCGTCCGCAGTCTTCGCGTGGTCGTTTATGGCTGCTTCTGCGTCTGGACCGCCGTGCTCGGGCTTCCCAGCCGGTGGAAAAGGCAGCAGCCAACCAGCGTCGTCGTCAGCCTCCTTGTCTGGACCGCCGTGCTCGGGCTTCCCAGCTGGTGGAAAAGGCAACAGGCAACCAGCGTCGTCGTCCACGGCTGCCCCTTCGTCTGGACCGCTGTGCTGGAGTTTCCCGGCTGGTGGAAAAGACAGCGGCCAGGCAACGTCTTCTGGACCGCCGTGCTGGAGCTTCCCGGCTGGTGGAAAGGAAGACGCTTGCGCCTCGTCCGTAGTGCCGCCTGTGGCTGCCCACAGCGACGGTTGTCCGCGCCGCGTCGTTCAGGTCAGCTGCTGTGGCAAAGTGATGTCGCAGTGCAAGTGCATGTGCCACACGGAGTGCGGCAACGCGTTCTTCGCGTGCGAGCCGTGCACCCCAGTGGACATGAGCCTCTGCGAGCCGTGCTGGTGCTTGGGCCTTGCCCCAGAGAAGCGCGGAAGCGGCGGTTACGACGACGAAGACGAAGACGACTCTGAGCACGACAGCGACGACAACGACGACGGTCGGGACACCACGCTGGAAGAAGAAAAGGGCGGAACAGCAGCAGCTTTGCCTGCGACCGTGTTAGAAGACAGCATGCGCGCAGACATTGGTGACCACGAGGCCATCATAGACTCTGGTTGCTCCAAGGGCATGGTCGGCAAGAAACGCCTGGAAAACTTCAAAGCCTTGCTTCAACAGGAGTACCCCGAGCTCTACGTGAGCGAAAGGCCGTCGAACACGAAGTATCGGTTCGCTGGTGGCGACCCGAAGACGGCGGAAGGCGTTGCAACCGTGCCTGTCCAACACCTGAATGCCACCACAGAGTTCGAAGTGCTGAACACTGGCCCCGAACAGACAAAGGCCACGCCTTTCTTGTTGGGAAAGCCGCAGCTAAAGAATCTGAAAGCAGTGATCGACTTCGAAAAAGGACACCATGTACTCGAAAACCACAGGCACCACTGTCCAACTGAAAACTTCGAGTGCGGGACATTACCTGTTCCCTCTCATGTTGCTCAACAGTGTTGCCGCGGTGGCAACAGAGGCGCATGACTGCGATTTTGCGCCTCTTAGTGACGCAACAGCTTTCGAGACTGTGACCGTTCAAGAGCACCCGAGAACCTTCGCGGTGTCTCTTCCGCCGCGGCTGGAGCAACTTCGCGCCGACCTTCAGACGGAAGCTGGTCTCAAACGGATGCGCGACAAGCTCGCGCACCCGACCGTGGACCAGTTGATGCGACGTATCACTCCTGCTTTGCTTCCCGAGACAGTGCCACAGGTCAGAATGCTTGCCGACAAAGTCACGAATTGTTGCAAGATCTGTGACAAGTTCCGTAAACCACACGCGCACCCAAAGACTTCTGGCATGTCTGCGAGAAATGTAAACGACCTTG